TACAACACTCCGCTCCAATACTGAAACATTTACTTCATATCATATGTGATATGTGTTATTACTATGTGATATTATATATCTTTCATACAATATTCAATATACTATGAATATGAATATGTAAATAGAATGTGCRAAAAGACAAGAATATTGTATAAAATGATATATAATCTCTATACTAACACATATCACATATGATATGAAGTAAATGTTTCAGTATTGGAGCGGAGTGTTGTGTTTGTACACAGTACAAAGGTAACAGGTAGCAAAAGGTGACAGGTGGATTTAGTGCAGTTCTGTGATGGTGGCTCTGACACAGGTGAGGTGATGAGTTGAAAAGTCTTATTGTTGGGAGGAATGATTTCTTGCTCTTTGGCTTGTCCAGTGTTTTGTGGAGTGGGTGAGAGGGATTGTCCATGATTGCCAGCAGTTTTGGCTGATATGCAAACTGCAGGGAGTCTTGTGATGGGCACACCAGAGGTCTGAGGTATGCCAGGACCAGTCTCGAAGAAGCAGTAGAGGGGCCGTAGGGGTGGGGAGGTTGGAGGTGAACCTATTGAAAAACAGGTTTAACTGGTTGGCACGTCATTCATTCCCCTCAGCTGCACCCCCACCTCTCCTCTGGAAGCCGGTGATCTCTCTCATCCCACTCCAGACGTCCCTGGTGTTGTTGTCCTCCAGTTTGTGCTCCAGTTTTCTTCTGAAGTTGTCCTTTCCCTGATGCTGCGTTTGAGCTCCCTTTGTACCCGTTTGAGTTCAGCTCTGTCCCCTGAGGCCCTCTTCTTTTTGTTGAGAAGGGCCTTCAGGTCAAGTGTTTTAGTTGTATAAGTAAGTCATTCAGTTGTTTCTGCCTTTCTTTTTTTTTAGTAGAAGACAACATTATGAGTTTCCCCCTGATTACAGCTTTGGAAGCATCCCATATGTTACTTGGAGATACTTCATCATTGTCATTGTGTTCTAAATACTCTTTAAATTCTTTTTCAATATATTTTTTGCACGATGGGTCATTTAATAGGCTAGTGTTAAGCCTCCAAGTTGTGTTTTTAACTTCGGTATCCAGATGTAGAGATAGATATACCCCTGCGTGGTCCGATACGTCTTTAACACCTATATCACATTGTGTGATTCTATGCCTGTCAAAGTTGAACATGAAAAAATAGTCAATTCGTGAATGTACGCTGTGAGGGTGGGAAAAAAAAGTAAATTGTCTTTCTGTCGGGTGAGTTTGCCTCCAGATATCCATCAAACCTGCTTCATGAAGAAGTTTTTTGACTGTAACTGTCTCAGGGTTCGTTCTTTTCGTTAAGTTAGAGGAGTCAAGGGAGGGTTGTAGCTGTACATTCCAGTCCCCACCACAAATGAGCACACCTGAGGTCTCCTCAGCAATTATRTCAAATATTTTTTTAATAAATATCTTATCGTTGCCTGGGGGTCTATAAACGTTTAGCAGTGTCACAGGTTTCTGGTCTATATGTCCCTTTACTAAGATGTAACGCCCCTCTGTATCCGTTAATTGCTTTGAAAATTGGAATGTTACCTTATTTGAAATCAGTATTGCTACCCCTCTTGTTTGCTTACGTCCAAAAGATGAGTAATAAGTATTTTTAAAGCCAAAGCGTTTTAATTTTTCGTGTTCCTCATCACAGAGGTGAGTCTCTTGCCAGAAAACCATTTGCTGTTTCTCTCTCTTCATTTTAGTTAGTAGCTTGTTCCTTTTGATGGVGTTAAGCAAACCATTAACATTCAAAGTGATAACTTAGTACTCCTGGTTTATCATCCTATCCCATTAGACCAATAAACACATAATGCTCCTCCAATGACCTGAACATGTAAACAAAAAAAAGTATGTGCTACACAGTAAAACATAAAAGTAGTGACCTCCAAAAGTGAAGTACAAATGTAACTTCTGAACAGGGAGGGGAGGCCTCCAGGAGGAGGGCCCCTCCAGGTGCGCATTGATGTCATCAGTGTCATCAGAGCACACATCCAGCGGCTTGAGTGCAGATAAATCCCCCCCAGATTACTGGTCCAGAGAGTGACTAATGTTTTGGCTAAGTATACTCAATACCATAGCAATTTATATAAACAGGTAAAGTAACAGGACTGATATTCAAACTTTAATCAGCCACGAACACTGTTAAAACATCTTATAGGCTACATATTTATATATCTGTGTGCGTAAACTCTGACGTAGGCTATTATCTCTAGTTACTCACGAGTGCATCTCAGTTACAGTTCTCCTAAAGCCTTTGAGAGTGTTGAAATCTCCGTAGCTTCTCTCGGGCTCGATCGATGCCTGCGGTGTGGTTTCGGCGTTTGGTGGGCTCGCGGAGCTCCCAGCCTGCGTCTGTCAGTCTCCTCCGGGGCGCCGTGTCTGCGCCGCTCCGTTGGTTGCTGACAGCCACAGGTGCAGCGGTCTCTTCACCAGGCGACAGAATCCCCCTCTTCAGCATGTCCTCCGCTGCCTCTTTTGCATTAGTGTACGTCGTCGGTCCCTCCTCATAAAAGACTCGGAGCCTTGCAGGTGCGGGTGTCTGGAACCTCAGCCCTTTTGCCTTTRATACTTTCCTCAGCGGGGCATATTCCTTTCTTTTCTTCATGGTTTCCACCGGGTAATCGTGGTCGAAAAAAACTCTCTTTCCATTAAGATGAACCTCCTTCTTTCTCCAAGCAGTGCTCAGCACCAGTTCTTTGGTGCTGTAGGCGAGAAAATAGGCGATCATGGATCTCGGGGCGGCGTGGGGAGGTGGCTTCGGGCCGAGAGATCGGTGGCAGCGTTGTATTTTAAGGTCAACGTCGGGGAGCGACAACTCTGATTTGATAAACTCCTCTAAGAACGCACAGGGATTGTCGTGCTCCTCTCCCTCGGGGATTCCAAAAATGCGGAGATTATTTCTGCGGGAGCGTGCTTCTAGGTCCACTAATTTGGATAGAATGTGCTCTTGTTGCTGCAAAGTTTCAAGCAGCACGCTCTTTGCGTTAGCGTCCCATTCTTCCACCTCGGCCACTCGTGTCTCTACTTCGTCCAGTCTGACCTGTGCATTATTCAGCTCCACACCGATCTCACTCAGCTTCTGGTTCACTTCTTCTTTAAAGTWCCCCAGCTCTTCCTTCATGTCTCGCTTAATTGTCTCGCAGAAACCATTCAGTTCCCTCTTCAAGTCGGMATGTCCTGCCTTTATGTCAGCGTGGATTGCCTTGATGCTAGCTTGCAGAGTGTTCATGTCCACGCGCTCGTTAGCTTCGACCGTGTCGATCTCTACATCAGCTTCTCCACTCGCCATTTCCTCGTGTTCCGATCYGYTTTGAATAGTAATGTTCTTAGCCTTCCTTAGTTTATATTTCCCCATTAAATTTGTAATAAAATAAGCCGGAATAATTCTCTAAAAATGGGGAMATTCGTGGACCAGTCTGGGAGCTCACAAACTACTCTGCTGCCCGCCTCGCCGCCATCACCGGAAGTCCTCAGGATCAACTTCTGCAAGACATGAATAGACAATGGGCTCACATGCTAGACAGTGGGTGTACATGCTTATGCATTAAGTCTATTTCGAGCTGTACCCTAGATGGAAATGTCTGCTGTAAGCATAAACTAAGTAGTTATTATATAGAGTAAGTAGTATTCAAGTAAATTTCCATTAAAACTGACATGGAGGTGATTGTGAGTGAGTTTGAGGTGAGGAAAGACAGATTGTTTAGTGGCCACAAAAGTGATCATTTATAAAAGAAAATACACTGAGTGGTATCATTTTGCTGCTGCCGGTAATGCAGTGAGTGAGAGTGAGAAATGTCTGAAATAAAAAAGTGGTCGGATTTAAAGGTGTAGGCAAGGTGAGGGTACTTCTTGTAATGCAATAATCTGTACATATTTTAATCATCCAAAACTGCAGGATTATTAAATTCAGGGACAGCTGCAATATCCCCTATCAATACAAATACCAGAATTTTTCAAAATGGGCTTCAAGGAGAGCAGTGAAAAGTGCGTGCGTGCGTGGAAAGAGGCAAATGGGTTGTGCAGCTGATGAATGCTTTGCTCTGCGCCATTTGCACCAACTATTTAGCTTTTTTTGTACATGTACATAGCTTTTGTTATTGTCTTTGGTCCTTGTTCATCTCTGTTTGTTTGATGTTTTTTTAAACTGTTTTTTGTTTGTTAAAGTATTGATCACCAGGGCTGCGAAGCAGCACTGAGCGGGCCCGAGCAATTGCAAACTCGGGACCTGATGCAGTCGCTGGGGAGGGCGGTTGGGAACCGGGCGAAACAGCTGTGTTTTGTGCGTTTTGGGCACCATGGGAAGGATAAATGCTCCTGTGTAAGTCACACAATGCCGAACCAAGCCGACCAATCACGCATCATGGTCCACGCCATCAAGTGCAGGCCACAAGGTGAACATTTCTATTCATTAATTCTATTAAAATTGAACTAAAGTTGTAAAACAAGGCTTTCTTCCTGTTTCCAGTAGGTGGTGCTATCACTACATACATAATAATACATCTCTTCCGGTCAGTACTCTGATAATGCATGACCAATTTGAGGCCAATTGGACGATGTACAGTGGAGTTAAATACAACTTCTTGTTTCATGTCCAATCAGTAGGTGGCACTATGACCCTGACTTAATTTTGATACATGGAGCATGTTACAGGTGTATGTTTTTCCTGTACTGTGTTCCTGTCTTTCTCTTGTCTCTTCTCTAGCTCCACCCTGATTAACCAATCAGTCATCAATGAGGTGCACCTGGCCAGTGGATTGAGGTTCTTTAAAAACTCCTGTGTCAGGATCAGAAGGGAGGCTTCCAGTGTGGGGACTGCTGTGCCTCAGCATGGGATTTTAACATTGCGTGTATTGTGTTGTTTGATGATAAATCCCATGGTTCTGCTGGTTTTAAAGGCTTTCTGATCTTGATTCGTATCAGAGGTGGTCAGTGATTTTACATGTTGTTCGCCTCCTAGGGCCACATAATCGTGGGGCGTAACAGAGCTGTGATCATAGGTTTTAATTTTGGTCCTAATTTGACAATCAACAGTAGAGTTAAATACAACTTAATTTTCACACTGATCAGTAGGTGGTGCAAAGACTTCTGACGTATGGAGCTGTTCAGGTCTGGACTTTGATCTTAGGATTTAATTTTGGTGATGACTGGACAATGCACAGTGGAATTATGACAATTTAGTCTCCTTTGGCGAAGGATTAACCTTCGCCGCACCTCATGCCACGATCAGACCATGTGACGCACACTAAAAAATCGAGGTAGTTTTAATCTCCATATTGTTGAGATGACACTTTACTTTAAAGTTGGTCTGATGAAAGCTCTAGGAGGAGGAGTTCAAATACAACACGTCAAAAATGGCCACTTATTCAAAATGGCTGACTTCCTGTTTGGTCTAGCATATTGATCCAAGAGAGTTTTTTGTTTGTAATAAAAAACCACATGTCCCTTCCGATTTTTGTACATATCAGTCAATCGTGCTGCCGGGGCTGCACTTTAGGGGGTGCTATTCAGCTATTTTGCCACACCCATTTCTTAAATCTATATAAATGTCTTCTACACTTGTACAATGTACACTGAAGTTACAGTGTCATGGTGACTTGTTGAAGTTTGACGTCACGCCCCTATTATGGCATTTGACAAAAACTCAGTTTCCTTATGCCTGCATCATTAATGTCTTGAGGCCCTTCTGACAAAGTTTGACATGGTTGTGGTCAATGGTGGAGGAGGAATTGATCAAAGCGTATGACATGCAAAAAACAAGACATTTCCTAATTTCTATGTAGATGTCATCAGGCCCAGACTTTTGTATCTCCGAGATAAAATGGCCACTAAATCCAAAATGGCTGACTTCCTGTTGCGTTTTTCATAATGCTCCTTGAGACTTTTTTGTTCATCTGGTCATGATACACGTGTGTACAGATTTTCATGTAGATCAGGAAGCTCCGAGGCTGCATTCTAGTGCGTTCTAGGTGGCGCTGTTCAGCCATTTTGCCACGCCCATTTCAAATTACTCGAGAATATGTAAATTCTCATCACTTTTGAATAGCCTGCAAAGTTTCATGAGCTTTCGAGTATGTTAAAGGCCTCAAAAAGGCAAATCACTTGCCTGAAAAATAATAATAATAACATAATTAGGGCCTTCGCTATGTCAGTGCTTGTGCCCTAATTATGTGATGATCAGTGTTGATATTGTGGAGTCATTTCAAACAGATCAACTTTTGAACTGTAGCGAGTCAGTCAGCTGAGAGAGAGTGAGAGACACAGAGAGAGCAGTGTGTGTGTGTGTGTGTGTGTGTGTGTGTGTGTGTGTGTGTGTGTGTGTGT